CATAGAGCAGATACATTTTCAAAGCCTTTTCACATATACTGTCTCATTTTTCATAACATCCCTTTGAGGATAAGGGAGATAATTAATATTAAATTAATATTAAATTTCCACTGTACACACAAAGATTATATGACTTGCACAGAGGCACACAGTAAACCACTAGCAGACAGAGATCAGAATTCAGGTGTTTTCACTCCTAATCCAGGGTTGATTTTAACTTTCCTTGAGAGGAGATGAATCTACAAAATTCTAAAGGACAAGGAGTGAGAGAAATTCAAATGATGAAAAGTAGATCCATGGGAAGGTCTGACTTGGGTCCCTCCCAGACTCCAAGGCTCTGAAGGGGACCTTCCCACCTGGCTCCCATCCATTAGCTTCTGTGGTCAGGGCCGGGAGATTTCTGTGGTTCTTCAACTCCGAGATCTGTAGGGGCAGCTGACCATTAGTGTGAGGACAGAATCCACATCCCCCCCACACACAGAAACACTTCCCACCCACTGTACTGAATGTCCTTGAAACTGGAGGCCAGAAGGACCTAGTGTGCCCTGATGGACTTATTAAAGTCAAACTTCAAGTATGATGCAGGAGTCGGGTGATGTGGGGGACAAGTGTACGCCCTCCTTAGGAATAGCAAATAAACAAAAATTCACACAACTCATTTGAGACTGTGATGTGCCTTTGGTATTCCCACTGTATTTTATACTGCATTATAACAATTATCTTATTAGATAAAGGTTGTTTTGCATGTTTGTGCCCCACACTTCCTGCTTCCAAGAGTGAGCTCCTGAGGGCTAGGGTCTATGCCATCCTTGTGTCCCCAGTGCCTAGCACGGTGCCTGGCACCGCACAGTAGCAGACAACGAAAGTGGGTATTGGCAGGAGGCACTGAAGTATGGGTGATACATACAGGAATTCCTCTGAAGGTGGAAAGAGCACTGTTGTTCTTGTCATATGATGCAGAATGCCCAGCAGACACTCTTTCGCCCTGTAAAACAGACCAGGGTCAATCTCTCAGGCATATATTAATATCCCTGAGATGACAGTTTAAATGTTGCAGTTTTTCACACAACCACAAAAAATGGATAAATTCTAGAGAAGGTAACTAATATCAGGAATATTGTATAAGAAAATTTCTCTTTCATCTGGTCTTAAAAATACTGCAAAAAGCTTAATGTTATCTCAAAAATCTTACACAGATTTCGTGGCTGTGTTAAAGGTCTCAGGGCTCTCTGAGTGAAGTTCAGTGAGGCAGTTTCCTATGGGCTCCTTGCTCAGCCAAACCTTTCCCCCACTAGAGTTGGAAAAAAAAAACAACTTGACCAATTGTTTGGAACTCGCATCAGAGATACAGGACTAATTTTCTAAATATGTTGTTAAAAATCCTACAAATCATTAAGAGAAACAAAACCCGGCTGGGTGTGGTGGTTCACGCCTGTAATCCTAGCACTTTGGGAGGCCAAGGTGAGAGGATCGCTTGAGGTCAGGAGTTTGAGACCAGCCTCAGCAAGAGCAAGACCCATCTCTACTAAAAATGCAAAAAATTAGCCAGGCATGGTGGCATGCACACGTAGTCCCAGCTACTTGGGAGGCTGAGGCAGGAGGATTACTTGAGCCCAGGATTGCTCGAGGCTTCAGTGAGCTATGATGACACCACTGTACACTAGCTGGGGTGACAGAGCAAGATTGTCTCAAAAGAAAGAAAAACAAGAACAAAATCCAAACCAGTGAAAACATGGGCAAAGGATACGGACAGTATACATAAAAGGAAACACAAATTGGTCTTAAACATATGAATAAATGCTCGACCTCACTCAGGAGAGAAATGCCAAATAAAACTATTCTGAGATAATGTTTCATCTGTCAGATTAGCAAAGGTCAAAAAGTCTGGTAACACCCTTTGTTGGCCACAGTGCCAAGTGCTATACAACACACTGGAGAGTAAACCGTTACTATCTCTATAGCTTGATAATACCTGACAAAATCATATGTGTTTTATATATTTGGAACTTCCTGTTGCATTCTAGTAATGTATCTAACAAATAATACCCACCCATGTGCAAAAGAACATGTTTACATTTACAGTGTCATTCATTGTACCACTGTTTATAATAGCAAAAGGCTGGGAAAACCATAAATGTCTGCTAATGGGTTGATTAAACAAATTAAAGATATTCACTCACTAAGATATCATATAGCCATAAAGAAGAATAAGCAAGTGCTTCATGGGCAATATGGAACAATATTTATGATATATTAAGTGAAAAAGCAAAGGGCAGAGTATATGCACTAATTTACCATTGTGTTTTAAAAAAATACATAAATAAATCCAAAACAAAATCCCATATCCCATTTAGAAAATAAGCTATAAGGAAAGGCAATCAACCCTGAGGTGAACAGAAGCTCCTTCTTATAGAACAAAGAGAACTGGCAGTAGCACATGTCTGTAGCCCTAGCTATTCAGGAGCTGAGCCAGAAGGATTGCTAGAGCCCAGGAGTTAGAGGTGGCAGTAACCTGTGATTGTGCCATTGCACTCCACTCTGGGTGACAGAGTAAGACCCTCTTAAAGAAAAGAGAGGGAGAGAGAGAACTAGAGAACTATAATCAGGGTTTTTCCTAAATAATTATAAAGCTCTACATTCTCTTGGTATATTTTCTGTCTTACTGTAATTAACAATCTATCCCAAACCAACAACTTTCCCAAAGCAGCATACATGCTTACCTGTCCAACTCTTAATTCTTTCTCATTATGGAAAGAGCAAGATTTTTCATTCATGACTCAAAATCATTTGTTCATGTGAGCTTTGTCCTTAGGCCCAGAAAGGGGTTTAATAAAGTCTGAGATCAGAAGCTACCGGGATAGCCAGAGATCCAATTGCTCTACCTTTGCCTTCCTTCTTGGCACTCATTCAGACTAAGAGTAAGAAACAGTCCCTTTGCGCCATCGCAAGGGTGCAGGAGGTTTCTGTGAGAACTGAAAGAAGTCCCTGAGGTTTTCGCAGCCTCAGGTCTGCAAAACAAAAAAAGGGGGGGAGGGGAGAGAGAAAAAACTGGTTTCATCATTCAGTTATGCCTCTGTTGACAAAAATTACTTTAAAAATCTTTAAGCAGCTGTGGATTTTTTTTTGAACAAACAAGCTGCCTGAGCCAAATGCTTACCTCTTACTACTACTGCCAGTGCAAAGAAAGAAGGGGACCATGCAGGGGTGCGGTGGGCTGGGTTCTCAGTTTCCAAAAGGCAGCAGCACCACTCTAAGTGATACAGTCTGTTTCTGATGATGAAGTTACTGGGACCTGGGCCAGCTTATCAAAGGGGTGAGGCTAATAAGTGGCACCTTGGTGGGTGGTCTTAGCTGAAATACTCAGGCTTTGTTTAGGTCTCAGACACAGGTTGGGTCCAGGGGCTTATAATATCAGACCTAGTTCCTATGATGTAGAAACTCAAAATGCAACACAGTGTCCTAACCTTCTTCGGTTATCACCAGTATTATATATTGTGGCAGCTGCCTAGCCAGTGTGGCCAACTCTAAGTCTTTCATTTTACCTTGCTTGCCTCAGAAAAAGGATATGAGCAAGGCTCATATCTTAACATGAGGGAACTGGACATCACGGATGCCTGTCACATCAAAACTTCAGATCTTATGTGGGCAGATGGCCTGCACATAACTGACAATCATTCTCACAGACTTGGATGACTAAGGAAGGAGGGTGGCCTCTCTATGGCATCAGCCCTTCACTGTGGGAATATGATCTAGATTCCCTAAGAAGTGGCTGCTGGTAACAAACTGGGATCTTTGTCTGGATGCTTTGATTGTTAACACCAAGGGAGGACTATCTCCTGGCTCAGGGGCTGGACATGTGGCTCACTGTAATCTTGGGGGGGGGGCAGTTCCCCTTCAGTCTTAGCACCTCAGGAACCAGGCTTCCCTCGCTGTGGCCTCTGGGGCCTCATCATCTGCCCCCCTTTCCTTTTCCTCACCCTTGGCCTCCATGACAGCACATGACAACACACTCACACATCGGCTAACCTTGGCAAGGCGACAGGCAGGTATGGTAATAGCAATTTCAGGAAAGCTCTTCTGTTACTGTGCATGAAATGAACCAAGTAGCGCAGAAGCATCACCGGCCTTACAGCACCTGGCTGGAGCACTGCTGGGGCCTCCAACAGGGATGGTTACAATCTGTGTCACAGAAAGAAAAGAGCAAAAACTCTGTTGAATAAGCAAGTACTCAAAGTTATGAAGTCGCTCCTACCAGTATTAGGCAAGTTCCTGATAGCTGGAGCTGAAGAAATGGCCTTCCTATAAAAACGGACCCTTCTAAAATCAAGTATTCATTGGGCATCTACTGTAGGCAAGCAGCTAGACTAAGGGGGTATAATTTTTCAACTGCTTGCTGGAGCTTAAAGTCTTTGCATAGGTATTTAATTTAGAGACTGGGTCCATCCTTAAATACAAATATGCACATAGGCCTGACAGTCCTTAGCTGATCCTTTCACTGGGTTTGTCCCTGGGCGGCTCTGCGTCCCCCACGGCCTCCACGAAGCTATGCAACTGGGGATCCAGCCAGGGCCCACCGCAAATGCTGCAGTCTCAGGGGGATGTCAAAGCCAAAACTATGGGTCACTCTGAGGGGCACAGAGCCAAGCGCTCGCCAGCTGTGATGCGCAGATCTTAATAGGATCTCAATTCATCAACACACACAGCCAGAGAGGGGTCCTGTGAGGACTCCGGACAGAAACTTTCTCACTGCTTGGAGAGGGTGAGAGGAGGAAAGCGATTTGCCTCAGAGCATTCAGTGAATCCAGGGCAGAGTCAGGACCAAAACCCAGGTCTCCGGTCTCCCATTCGGGCTTCTCTCTCAGTGTCGTCTCGCTCCGCAGTGATCATTTCCACCACCACCCCTGAACCAGCCTCCCCGAACCCCATTCGCCCTCCTCAGGCCCCCGACTCATCCGGCGCGTTCCGGAGTTACCGGACCTTTCTCGACTGGGGTCTGAAGCTCCGGCTGGGCCGCATTAGCGCACGCGCACGCGCACAGCGGCTCCCGTGCAGCCTCCTATAGCCGCAAGAACTACACTTCCCAGCAAGGAATGGAAACATCGCGCTGCAAGGGAAGTACGAAGAGCCGGCAGGGTCAATCAGAGCCGGAGCGTTGGCTTCTCGCTGGATGATTGGTCGGTGCTCAAAGCTGCCTCCCGCTCTTGAGTGGGGAGAGCAAAGTACCCCGGCGGAGCCGTGGCCCTAAAGACTGAGTAAAGGCCGAGCGGGCTCATTTCCCCGACCCGACGCCGGCGCCATGGGGCTTCTGCTGGTGCTGCTGCTGGCCGTGCTGCTTCTGGCGGTCCTCGGCAAAGTTTGCCTGGGGCTTTTCGCTGGCAGTTCCCCGAACCCCTTCTCCGAGGATGTCAAGCGGCCACCAGCGCCCCTGGTGACTGACAAGGAGGCCAGGAAGAAGGTTCTCAAACGAGGTCAGGGGGAGAGACCCTGGGGTCTGGGGCTGCGCTCGGGCACTCTTACAGGCTTGCATTCCCATTCCGGCAGGGCAAGCTGCTACCAGACCTGGGCCTCAGTTTCCCCATACATAAAGTCCTGGGAAGGCTTCCTTGCACCTGTAGGCGTCCCATTTTAGTGTCCGCCACTAGGAGAGCCCTCGCCCTCACTAGGAGCAGACCTGGGAAATAGCTCTGAGGGCGCGGGCACGGTCCTCAGCGTGCCAAGGTCTTGGCATAGCCGAGTCCCGGTCTTCCGCTTGGAATCCCCGTGGCTCTCGAACAGATAAGGAGAGACCATTCCCACACTTGGTTCCAGGACCTTAACTTTTCCACAAAACCTCTCACGCAGGCTCAAGTGCGTGGGGGAGCTGCACAGAAATGTCTCCCAATCAGTATACAACATTGCGTTTTGCCCGTCAGATAGACGATTTAATAGGTTTCGTGCGGGCCCAACTCACAGGACTGAACCCTGCTTCTAAAACTTTGGTAGAGGTGCCTAAGGGGGCCTAAGGCTCAGACCCTGCTTCCGCTCTCCTCTTTAAAATGTATTTTGGGGTTGCTTCTACGGTTTAAAGGAAGAGTTCTGCTTTAAAAAGAAAAAGAAAATACCGGATCTACAGTTTGATCTCCAGAGTTGCTCTCACTTGTAAATTTTAGAATTCTGTGTGGTACAGAATTCTCTGCTGCACAGAGACAATACTGTTCTACCTGGAAGGACTAAGTGTCTGGACTTGTGAGATGGGAGTTTCAGCTTGGACTCTGTTACTGATTTACTGCATAACCATTAGCAAGTAACTCCACCTTTCGGGGCTGGTCTAAAAATGAAACGACTAGTTTAATAGCTTTTGAGACCAGGTTGTGATGTTAGTGGGTTATGAAATCGATTTAGTGGATTGCAACTGGCATTTTTTTTTTTTTTTTTGACACAGAGTCTCACTCTGTTGCCTGGGCTAGAGTGCCATGGCGTCAGCCTAGCTCACAGCAACCTCAAACTCCTGGGCTCAAGCGATCCTCCTGCCT